ACGACAACTTTCCCCAAAGCAAATCTTATGCGGAACTTAAAATAATGTTGATCCAAGAACCAATAAAGTAAATTGGGAAAAACTTGTTGATATGTGGTACTCTGCTGAGTGGCAGGTAATATGTTTTCACTATTTTTTTTTTTTTTACCAAATAGAGATCAAAGTTGTATGTATGCCCATTGTTTCTCAACTCATTAATTAATTAATTAAGTCTCTTTTTAATGTATTCACGATTGTTTGCTCATCAGAGAGCGGAGTCTAGGGGGAATTAAATACTTTCCGTTCCCAATTCATCCGCCAGTATTTTTGCTCAATTCTTTATCACGATTTCCATTAAAATTTCAAAACTTCCCCATTTTATTAATACAGGGCCATTATATTTTCCGGAGGTAAGTGAATATTAGATTAATTAATGGAAAGTAATGGTAATAGGCCATAATGTAATAATCCCGTGAGAAAGAATTTAGCTTTGTATTTTTCCTTCTTTTGAAATTGATTGAAAAGTATTTTCTTTTACCATTTGCCATATTTTTACCAAGTTCATTGAATTTAATTAATGCTTAAATGAGGGTTTTAATCAAAAGCTTCTATTACTTCGATTTTCTTTTTAATAAACTATATATTTTGATTTAGAATACTCTATGGATTATTAAATGTATCTATTTATATATTGTTGCTTATGAGTTATCGGTTCATTAATGGGCTAACACCGGTTAGACCACTAAGTGTGAACTAATTGCTATACCGGCTATACTCATACCTTGTTGCTTTTTCTCCAGGCAAAGTCTTCTCGTAACAAGAGAAGCAGGGAGAAAAACAAGCTAACTCATATATCCGGCACTATATCTTATGCTCGACGTAGAGTGATAGAGGTGCAATTTTTGCATGAAAACAAATAATGTTTATGCTACAGTATGAGACATTATATCAATACTTTTCCCCTCCCTGCCGCTTGCAGTCCCCTTTCCTCAATCCTAGTCATCGCCGCTGTTTCATCTCCATCAAGCCGCCTTCTTCCACCCAACCTTCCTAGTGATTATCCATTTAAACAACCATCATCTCAATCGATGACGGCAATCGATTTGAGGGACGACTAGAGAAGATTGAAGTGTGTTTCCCAGCCGATTTCCATTCCAATTACCGCTGCAATCGATCTCTATAAACACGACACTCGGGGTTTCAGAGGTAAATATACTTTTGTTGCCTATGATTCAGTTTTTATTGGCTAATAAATCAGATTTTCCTTCATCTCCCTAAACAAGCCGTCATCTCTCATCTTGTAACCCGACGCTCCTGGACGCGGTTGTCATTGTTGTCATCGTCCCTCAAACCACCATCTCCCCAAACGTCATTGTTGTCATTGTTAGCCAGATCTATCATTGGACTCGTTTTGCTTGCTCCGGCAGTTGAGCAGTTCATCGAGGAGTGCAGTAAGGATGTAGAAAAGTGGCGATGATTATTGTGTTTTAATGTATTAAATCGATGTATTCATTTAGTAAGTTTTAGTTTATTAAATTAAATTGATGTATTCATGTATTTTAAGAAACGTTTGTATTTTACTATTTCAAAAATGTACTGAAAATACATTTAAATTTAATATTATTATTCTTATTTTTAAAAATTGAATGGTGTGCACCTTATACAAAGAGGCAGTGAAAGTAGATTACAATTAATTAAAATAAAATTATCAGAACTAAATAGAATTTTAAAATGTTTATTTCAAAGTATACCCAATTGAGAGAAATATTTGTCTCTCCGTAATATCTTTTAGAAGCAAATATATTTTTCTCAAAAATTAATATATATATGTCTCTAAAACCGAATTATAAGGTAGAAAAGTTGGTGTTCAAAAGTGGAATTACCATAAAAAATAATTTGTTTCTATTTAGACGCAGTTATTATTTGCTACTACGTCTGCCTCTAAAGGGAATTAAAGACAGAGGCTTCCGATTAAATAACTTATTTGACTCCATAGATATATAGAAACAAATAAATGACTTTTAGAAGCAAATAACTATAGGTGTCAATCGGGCGGGTTCGGGCAAGGTTCAATCGGTTTCGAGTTCAAACAGGTTGCGGGTTCATCGGGTTCGGGTTCAAGCGGTTTTTGGGTTAGTCGGGTTGCGGGTTTATCGGGTTCGGGTTCAATCGAGTTGCGGGCAAATCGGATTGCGGGTTCATCGGGTTTTGGGTTGTTCGGGCCAGCGCATCGAGTAACTTACTCATTACTCGTTACCCAAACTCTAAGCCAGCCATAACAAAGCCAGAAGCACCAAAACCGGCAGCCAAGGTTGAAGCACCAAGAGAGAAACCCGCAGGCTCTAGTGGAGGAATTCAATGTTTTAAATGCCATGGAAGAGGACATATGGCCAACCAATGTCCAAAAAAAAGAGCTCTCGTCTTGTTGGATAATGGAGAGTATGTATCGGAGTCTGAGGATGAACAGGATGCTGATTTGGATCCTGAAGTGGATGAGAAGATAGAAATGGAGGTGCCACCAAGAGAACTTTTCATAGCTAGAAGGCTTCTAAGCGTGCAACCCAAGGAGGAGCTTGAACAACGGGAGAACTTATTTCATACAAGGTGCACGGTGGATGGAAAACTACTCTCGTTGGTAATCGATGGTGGGAGTTGCACTAATGTCATTAGTGTCTATTCGGTTAAGAAGTTGGGATTAAATACTTTGAAGCATCCCAAGCCATATACACTTCAATGGCTCAATGACCATGGCGCCATCAAAGTGACAAAACAAGCTCTCTTGAAGTTTTCAATTGGAAGGTACAAGGATAAAGTCTTATGCGATGTTGTGCCTATGCAAGCCGCGCATGTATTGTTTGGAAGGCCGTGGAAATTTGATCGAAAGGCACATCACGACGGAGTCACTAACAAGTACGAGCTAGAACATGGTGGGAAGAAGTTTGTGTTGAAGCCTCTATCACCCAAGGAAGTTTATGAAGATCAGCTCCAAATGCAACGAAATTGGGAGAAGGAGCGAGAGTCTCAAGCTGCAAACAAGGGTGCACATGAAGGGTCTAGTACCTTGGACACCAAGACATTGATGCTAGCACGTAGTGAAGATGTGAAGCCATCAATTAATGAGTCATCACCTACTCAAGTTGATTTTGTCACGGGAGAAGCCCTACAACAACATCAAATTTCATCCCAAGGCATAATCAACGCCTCAAGTACTCCCACACCACCCAATTCTGCTCATGAGCATGGTCAAAACCCTCTTCGATGTAAGTCAATTCATATGGAAGATTATGGTGAGATTATTGACCACATTGATTTTGTTATTGGAGATGAAGTGACATACATAGAAGCTCATATTAGAGAAAGACGAAGACTCCAAGAGTTTGTGGATCATCTTAGCTTTCAAGGTGCATGGTCAAGGGGGAAAATAATCAAGTCACAGGAGAGAATTTATATGTCGCACCAAGATTTGAGGTCAAATCTTTTTCAAGAGGGAGGGAATGATGTGACCCCGCATGACGTCACTCGAGCTCAAACTAGACACCTACATGGACCATGGTTCAAGAGACGATTTAAGAGGTTTAAAGAGAGCTTGCAAGCATTCAAGGTGGAAGAAAAGGTCTTTGCAAGCAAGGCCTACGAGTTTGTTGATGCGAAATCAATTGGCAGAATATATAATTCTCATGGTCGAAAGATGAAGGTCCGAGTGCGACGATACAAGGATCAAATGAGATCATTCTTGATGGACGTGGACTTGCTAGAAGGAAAGTCCATCACATTGCTACGATTTATGGACTAGAATGAAAAGAAGATGTGCTTGGTAGAAGGAAGGAAGATCTCCCATGGTGTGAATAGAAGGTGTGAAAGGAATATCAAGTGTGAACACAAGCCATGTGAGGATGGATTGCAAGGCTAGAATCCAGGGAGTTGTTGACAAGTCTTTTCCTTGTCTTTTAAGGATTGTGTTTACTTTTCCTTTAAGGTTTTGTTTTCCTTTTAATTGTAGGATTTGGTAATTTGTTTGCTTTCTTTCTTAGTTTATGATTGGATTTTCGTTGCCTATATAAGGAGGATGAGTCCCTCATTGTAATTCATTCTATTATCAATCAACTTTCAACTTTCAAGTTCAAACGAACTGGTTCTTTGTGCAAGCTTCTATCGAGAGTGCTCCAGAGGTTTCACGTGTCTCTTATCAACTAGAGAACGCGTCTAGTTGTGGCGAGCTTCTACCCTATATCAATTGCCCTTTCCACGAGTTGGTGCTGTCCGATTGGTTCCATATACCAATTGCCCTTCATCACAATTGGGATTGTCCGATTGATTCCGCATCTATCTTTATTTTTCGGGTTCAAGAATGGCTACATCAGAAAATCATAAAAAGATCGTTGAAGCTGCGTACTTTGGTGACATCAATGCCTTCTTTTTTTCTTTCTTTCGTGTCTCATTTGTATTTTTTTTTGTCAGATACTTTATCTTTTTGAATTAATAAAATGGTATCACCTTATATAAAAAAAGTAGTAATTATATAATGCATAGTTTTCAACTTTTCATAGACTCCAGTCTTTAAAACAAAACACTTCTATGTACAACTTGGTAAAGCCTGCTTTACTGATTTTTTTTCTTGACAATATAGTAAAGGAGACTGCAAAAATGAAACAAATTACATGAACACAAAAACTAATACCGTTTGGTATAAATGAATTCTATAAGTTTTAAGCAATTCATTTTGAAATGAAACATTCTTATGTTTGGTATTTAAAAGAATCCATTTACAATTATGGTTAATTCCAAGTTTGGTTACTGAGTTTATCAAAAAGTGTCATGTTTAGTCACTCGAAATATTAAATTCCAATGTTGGTCACTCGAATTAGTAAAATGGTTCACGTTTAGTCACTATCCGTTAGTCTCCGTCAGTATCTGTTGACACCGTTAGTCAATTGCTGAATTTTGTGCGGCCAATGTTTGTAGTGTTTCTCATGGTTGGGATTTTCTGAATTTTGTTCTTTTTATTTGGGAATTTGTGCGGAACTGGGAATTTTGGTTCACTCTGTGATAATCAGGATATCGCTGGGAGCTTCGGGGAGCACGAAAACAATCAAGCCGCTGGTGGTGGCGCTGACATTCCACCAGTTCTTCGAAGGGCTCGACCTCGGCGCATGCTTGTCGTAGACGAGATTCATGCTGTGAGTGGTGATAACGATGGTGGCATTCTTCTCCTTCACGATGCCGATCGAGATCGCGGCGGGGATATGCATCACGTATTTACAACGAGAACAGCCAGACGACCCTTGTGGACTGTGGTGGACGGGCTGATGAACTCTGCCTCGGCTGGGATTTTGATATACATGGCCTTAGTAGGATTTCGGCAGCCCCAGATTGCTGGGCAACATGCGGCTGCAGCTCGGAGGGTACGTCTCGCATCTTCTAGGTATGGGTCTCGCTGACGAGCTCTCTCTCGGACTTGGCAACCGCACCCTAGGGGTGGCATTTTGGTCATCGGTTAATAGTTAACTGATCGGTTAAACCAATAATCGACGGTTAACGATTAACCGATAACCAAACGAGTCAATTGTCGGTCGGTTGTCGGATGTCTTAACAGGTGCTTTAGTTAACCGAGTAACCGATCATGGTTAACCGGCTAACCAAAGCTAACCGAATGATGTTCTCCTTACACCCCATACATTGTTGTATTACCCAAAACGACGCCGTTTTTTAATTTTAAAAACTTCCCCAAGTCCCCAACTGGCCAACCTTTTCTTCTTCCTTCGTCCGTTCGTCGACCCTCACCGCCACTCTTACTCAGTCCCTCCCTCCCTCTCATCTCATCCCGCCGCGGCGCCACCTCCGCCGACTGCCATCTCCCCGCAATTCCCGCGGCGACCCTCTGCGGCACGACGACCCCCCTCGACCTCGCGCCGCCGCACGAACCCCTTGACCCCGTGAGTCGCGATCCCCCAGCAACCCCCCCCCCCTCCTGACTCCAGCAGCAACAAGTCAGCAACCTCAAACCTCAATCCCACCATTCTAGAGGCAGGCAACCAATAAGATCTAACTAACCCCAATTCAGAATGCCCAGATCCTCCTATTCAAACAACAATCCTGCCAATTCTCCACCAGGGACCCGAATCCGCCGAGTGACTACTGACCACCACTAGAGGTGGCAATTAGGATCCAAATCCAATTGGATTGGTGGATTCATGGATCAATCCATGGATCCAAATGACAAATTACGATTTGGTACCTATATTTTTTATATTTTACATTTTGGTACCTAAAATTTATATTTTTATACGAAAAATATCATTGGAAAATTACATTTTGGTACCTAAAATTTTTCATTATGACATTTTAGTACCTAACCTTTTCAAAATTTACATTTTGGTCCAAGCCTTGGATGTTATTTGGATTCATGGATCAATCCACCAATCCATTGGATCCAATCCATGAATCCACCAATTCATTGAATCCAATCCATTTCATCCATGGATCCACGAATCCAATCCACGAATCCAATCCATTAATCCACAAATCCGATCCAATTGCCACCTCTAACTACCACAATTGAGAGATGGAAGAGTAAATGAATCAATCAAACAGAGGAAGAGGAGGAAAAGTGGAAACTGCACCTTGTTTCCAATAGGTTGCGAGATGAGAAAAGCGCAAGAGAGAACCCCTCCTCAGATAGGAAAAACGGACGCATCGAGGAGAGAGAGAAGCATTTTCGGTTTCCCGGTTAACCGAACCACTAACCGGTAACCGACCGGTCGGTGGTAGGATAACAGAGATGGGCAGTCGATCGGTGGGCGGTAGAGGTGAGGGGTGGTTTGGTTAACTGGAAACTAAAGGTTCGGTTATCGGTTATAACTGAACGAACCGCCAGCCGCGTGTACCTCACCCAGCTCAAGTCCACGTTCATACAGACCGAGGTGGAAAATTTTCAAAATTAAATTTTATTATTTTTAATTACCATGTCAAACATTTAATGGTAACTCTTAGAGTTGACTGCCACATAAGCAAAAATTAACGGAGTTGGACGGAGAGTGACCAAACTTGAAGTATTTAACTCATTAAAGTGACTGCGAATGAAATTAAATATTTTTAATGACCAAGCGAGAACGTTTTTACTAATCTTAGTAACCAACCTTACAATTTACCTATTATAATTTGGTTTATTTGTCGCATGGCGAGGATTGGATAAGAGAAGTGAGTTGGGTAAGTGGTTTCGATTTAGGTAAGTGCAAAGTGCAACCATATTATTAGGTTGAACTAACCCAATTTGGTTATTTGATGAATCGACTATAATTAGGTAAGAGAAAATACTTGGGATTTTGCTAGGTTGTCAATACTCAAATGCTAAAGTAGCTATTTGTAGAATTTAGAAATGAAGAAACAATTATGTTCTAGAAAGAGAATGTTTTTCAACCTCTTACTTATCAATGGTGTATTTATAGCCATTTCTTAATATTTGGACATTACGCGACTGACTTATCAAACGTGTTTTGATCATTAGACGCGCGTTAGCTTTGTTCGAGTGTGTCCAACTGGCACATGTGCTGAACATAAATGATTTATTTATCATTGGTCTTATACTAAGGAAATTAGATGCATATATATTTCATCACCAACGACCACAACATAAGAAAACAATCAAATTGTCACACATGCCTAGGCTCGACCAACTACACAATATAGTTGGGCGTCCTCTAGCTTATTATGGTTGACCAAAACCCAACCAGGAATCACAATCAATTCGACCGACACATCCACCCAGAACATTGCTAGCAAACACAAACACACAATTATTTAAGAGGCACGACCGATTCGACCGATACACCAACCGAGAACATTACTAGCAAACACAAAAACACAATTACTTCACGAAGGCACGGGATGCACCAAGATGTAAGTGAGTAACTCTTTCATGATGGTCTTGGAATCCATGTAAGTGTCCTCGTCCTTGTACAACAAGTCCATGACTCGCACCTTGTTGAGTATTGTCTTCAGAGCTGGCATCGGAGCCTCCAGAGGCCGCAACAGTTCTTCGTTTATGTCTCTCCACAATTTCTCCACCAGCTTGTTCAGCTCAGCGTGGGCTTCTTCTTTGGACACGTCGTACTGTTTGATGTAACACTCGACGGACGAAGCCACATGTCCTCTCTCTTGCTCAAACTGCCATGGCCATAAAAAAAAGTGATCATAATACTGTCATAGTTAGCTCAACCATGCATTCATAAGTAATACCATACCTCGTGGGTAGGGATGACAATGGGTCGGGTCGGGGACAGATAGTGCATATCCGCTACCCTACCCAGAGTAGTTCGGGTTTTACCCATACCCATACCCACATAAGAAACGGGTAGAAAATCTAAATCATGCCCATACCCATTCGGGTTTCGGGTATCCACGGTTATCCATGGGTAATAGTTTCTCTTTATAACTCCAACCAATATGTTAATATTGACACGTATTCTCACGTTACGTAAGACAAAAAGTACGACCATAATTCGCTAGAATGACGAAAATTAATTAAAACAACACAATTTCATAAAACTATTATATGTATATGCTAAATATAAAATATGTAAGATAAAAATATTGATTATTTCTAGACAAAATACATATGCATGTGTATAATCGGGCGGGTTCGGGTTGGATAGTGAGAAAACCATGCCCACTCATTAGCCGCAATATTCGGGTTCGGGTGTTACCCGTACCCACTAAAAGGCCTTCGGGTTCGGATTTTACCCTACCCAATTAGGTCGGATTCGGGCGGATATCCACGGTTACGGATATTTTTGCCATCCCTATTCGTGGGAGACAATGTCATCCATGAGTCGAGCAATGGTAGAACCGGCGACAAGAATCTTCTGCTGGCTAAACAGCCACTCGAAGACCTCTTCTGAAGCAACTTCTCCCCTCCCGCAATAGATAACTATAATGGCAAGGGGATAGCCGATGCTGGTGTAACCATTTGGTAGATTTTCCTCCATTGTTGCCGCATAGCCTGCGTTGTACCACCTTGCTTCCTTTATGAACGCTCTCACTATATGTTTCACCTGTTTACTCGCCGTTTTGGAATCGTTAGACCTAATTTTCCTTGTATTTAAATGGGGAAGTGATCGTTGATTGATTAGTGTTACTTACTATTTCTTTGGCATAGTCCATACAGAACAACCTCCCTTCATTGGACACATGAGCCTCTATTTCAGCAAACACGCCAAGCAATGTCTTGAACCAGAACTCGAAGTAATCGGGAACCTTGTCGTCCTCATCGGTGATCTCCCACCTAATCGGAAGTATACAGTTAGCGTTCAACCTCATTTGTCTTCAGAGAAAATTTAATTAAATTGTTGATTATTACCTCTCGATCACATTGACGACACATTCGAGCTCGTCGATGGTACCGTGGACATCGAAGATGTCATCCAGGACGGACACAAGTTGAGTGATTTTGGTGACAAAGATTCTTCCGACTGTGTAATCAGGCTTTAGAAATCCTCCCAACGGCCACATATAGCACTCTATCACGTGCAAATGGAAGCATAGTTTCGGTATCCAGATCCATCCACCACCTTTTTGTTTTCAATCAATACAAACAAGATGTGCTTGCTGTTAGGGACTCAGGGTAGTTGCAAGGGTGGCAAAGAAAAAAAATGAACCTTTTGTGTTTAATAAACTAAACTACTCAAATCCAAAATAAGAGAGGAATAATTGTGGTTCATTACTTGGTGAGAATCATTAGCTCATGTTGGTGCAGCTTCTGGACCAAGTTGAAGTCCAGCTTGTCTAGCTTTAGAATGACTTCATTGTGGGCCTTGTCTTGCTGGTAGATGGATTGGACATGAAATGCTTGGACTCCCTTATGGGCAAGCCCTTGAGAATGGGCCACTTTAAGGAGTGCTTCACTTGGGTGCCCAAAGGTGAGTCCAGTCGGCTAATGGGCTCAAGGTGAGTTCTGGCGAACTCCAAAGCTTCATCTAGTATTTCTTCCCCATTTATTCCGTAGTAAGCAGCTCCGTACAATCTCAGCAGCCCTTTGACGTCGTTTTTGAGATTTTGTTTGAAATTTTCCTTTTCGTCTGTGAAATTTCTCAACACATCTGCGTGGCAAAGGCACAACAAGAAAACATTACTAATCAACGCGGAAAGTCAATTCATTCTAATAATTTGGGTTATTAAAAGATGATTAATTCAATAGTAGATACTGTACTGTTACGCTAACTGGTTCATTATATAAAAAAAATTGTTCAATATGAACACTAATACGATTACAAATTGGGGTTAGAGGGGGGAAGATGGGTTAATTAATGAATCAAGTAATTTCAGCTCACGATTGGGATCAATGTGGTAGCCCCGCTGCCTGAGGAGCCGGAATCGGAGGGAAACATTGTACAAGTCATCATCAGTATCATCGTCGGCGCAGCAACGCCGGAGATCTGAAGCAGAGCTGCTTCGATTTCCGGTTCGAAATGGTAATCGATGCCCAGCCTCTGCACGGCGTCAATCATCTCCAAACTCGTCTTCACCGCCGCCGCAGCCGTTGCAGCTCCTTTCAGCATCTCCTAAATTCCTCCTTCAATTGCTCAGCGTCTTCCCTCCATACACTTATCACCTGCAAACAATTAATTTTCTCACTAACTTAGCTAATTACACGGACCATGCTAAGTCCAATCATGGTAATTTTTCCAAAATTTCCAGCAGTAATTTTTACTAAAAGGAATTAAAAATCAACACTTAATTTTCCAAAACAAAAAGAAATGAAAAAAAGACTATTCAGCTGGCAGATTAGCTGGACAATCAATTTTTTTAGGGGGATTGCTATTCGTCGCCCTAAAAATCCTTATTTATCGCCCTAATTATATTAAATTTACTATAATGTCCTTAGTTTATTTTATTTTCTATCAAACACTTGAATTCTGAAACAAACACATACATAGTTACATACGTCCACCAGTCCCCGGAGCCGGAGGAAACATTTTTGGAAACCCACACCCAATATCGCCATTTGAGGAGTTTGTTGTTCATCGCTATCGTGCCATCTCATCGCCGGTGGATGTCCTGAATAATACGGGCGAAGATCAAGGGAATTTCGAGTAAGTGCTGCAGGAGAGAAACGGTGGGGCCAAGGTGTTTGACCAATGGTCTCAATGAAGGTAAGTAGTTTGGTGCATCAAAATTCAAAATGATCTTTTATTTTATTAAAAGGTGCCGGCTTTTGCATTGCTCTGAATTTTGATAGGCGATAGCTTGGGGATTTGAATTTCTTTTCTTTTTGTCCAGTGGGTTGCAGGAACAAGACTTGTTTCACCGCCGGGATCGGAGCCTATCTGCTGTACTTAGTTGCCGCGAGGAAAACGAGCTGGACAGGTTCAATGCGGCGCGGGTGGAATACAGCATGGCGGGGAGCGAATCTGGCAGGAAGACAGGGTGGCGGGAGAAGTTATCGGGTCGGCGGCGGAGAGCAGTTCTGGGGTGGACGGCAGCTGATTTTGAGAGTCGGGTTTGGGGTTGGAGACGGATTGTTGCTAGGTTTTAGTTTATGTTTAAAGTTAGGGGTATAAGTGTCAATTTAGTATGGCTTAGGTCGATTTATTTTGAATTTTAGGCGACGAATATCGATTCAGTTTTTTTAGGCCCACATTTCCAAATATACTGCTAATAAAATAAGATAAATTTGATCTATAAATTATATTTTTTTGGATTTTTTTTAATTATAACAAATCTATGTATGCTTGTGTTCACCCTACATACTTCAATATATTTTGACGAATCAGATTCATCAATTATTATTTTTAGATTAAACGAATCTTATGATTTGGGGTTAGAGAATTAGCGGTCGAGACTCACCATTTAGAAGTTAAGGTTTATTATCATACACCAAACTCTGGTTATTATGGTCCAAATAGCAAAACTCGATAAGCGTACTGTAACGTACACTGTGGCCTCAACTATATATACACCAAACACGAAATATGGGAAAGTGAATGTGATCTTATTGGCTAGGATGAATATGATCAACACATGAAAAGAACATCAAAACTACGAAGTCGAAATGAAAAGAACATATGAAGCATTCAAAATTACTCGAGAATGGCTATTAAGTTGTGTTATACATACTCGTGATATGCACTGAAAGAAGTTATATATGTGCAGAGAGCAAAGCAAGGTTACCGGAGAATGATTATCGGGGCGGGCGAAGAAATCGTTCCAGACAGAAGGGTGAAATTCCACCCTCTTCCTCCGAACTTCTCCGCCTGCTACGTCCACCGCCGCCATCTCTGTGTCTCTGAGTTTGGTAGCTGAAGCAGAGGAGAAATTGCTTTGACTGCAGAGTTGTGTGCTACTAACACGCTGCGGTGGCACTATTTTATAGTCAGTAGCTAGGACACTCACGAAGTAAAACATATAGTACAGTAAACAACCTACCAAATTAAATGGGGCTTGCTATTTGCCGCCAAAAAAATTGCTATTTGTCGCCAACTAAAAAAAAAAGTATATATGTACATCTTTGGTTAAGAAGTTTCACAATCTACAACATATTCAACTTTCAGAAAACGTATTGAGTCAGAAAAAATCGACGCTCGCCGGAAAAGTCGCCGGAAAACCATCGGGAAAGCCCATCCTTGACGTAAACTGCGGACACACATCCATGAATCATCACTAAGCAGGTGCGTCAATTTTTTGTAGTTTCGAACAATTTTTCCGACGATTTGCAACGAACAGACGGTGGGCCGAAAATTTCCAGCGGCCGGAACCTGGCCGGGCCGAAAATTTCCGGTGGCCGGAACCTGGCCGGGCCGACGGAAATTGGTGGCCGGATCCTGGCTGAGCCACAAAATATTTTCGGCTCAGCCTGGCTCCGGCCACCGATTTTCGTCGGCCCGGCCAGGTTCCAGCCGCCGGAAATTTTCGGCCCACCGTCTGTGTTTGGAATTTTTCGAAAAAATTCGATTTTAGGAGTTGAATTTAGAGTTTAGGGTTCTTTATTGTTAGAGGAGCATGGAAAAGCAATCGCTCAGGAGTGTGGGTTCTTTATTGTTAGAGGAGCATGGAAACCGAATACTGCTGGACTACATCCTGTTACTGCCCTCTGTATGTATTGCAACAGAAGCAGTAGGATCGTTAAGTCTTATAAACCAGACCCTACGAAGGAGACGCGTGAGAATATTAGTTCGAAGGGTACTGGTTGCCAGTTTCAGATATGTATTAAGGAAGTATGTCAAAAGAATGGTCCAAACACATTGGTCATAGTGGGAGTGACAAGTCGTGAAACCGGAGCTAATAGAGGGTTTCACAACCATGAAAAGGTGTTGTATCCAGAACATCACCGACACAACAAACAGTTTATTGAGGCTGAAAAAGAGAGGTTAAGATTAATGAGGAAGGCGGGGGTGAGACCAAATCAGCAGAAGACGACACTCAATACTGAAGGGGGTGTGAATCATGATATCAAACAGATGTACAACAGAAATTACAAGACAAGATTGGATGAGATGGGTGAAATGGATGCAATACAGTTTGCGCTTCACGGAGTTGAACAACGTGGGTACCATATCTGTTTGCAAAAGGACTCTAATAATGTGCTCACTAATCTGTTTTTTGCGCACCCGGCGTCCATTCAGATGTTGCATGCATGGCCGTACGTCATCATTATCGTCCTCATCAAACTAAGCCGAAACCACTCTCGATGCAGCACCCTGGTTCCCCCCATGGGAACCAGACGACCGTGAGGCCGAACGAGCAACTACAGTAGGAGCCTCTAACCCATCCTCCCCTAAATTTGCCTCTGACTGATGTCCAATATCTCGAGAGCGCTTCTTCTCCTTATTCTTCTTAGGCACCTTCCTTCATGTTGATGCATCAACAACCCTACCATTGAATCTATACAACTCACTACCACCCGCATCATCCATATCTAATTATCTACAAATTTACGCAATATCATACTTTTTTTTTTTTTTATGAAGCGGTTGGGATTTCATTTCATCAAAACAGTGACCAAGTACACCTACTGGCAACAGCTCTGCCAGCTGAGCAGAAGGGAGAAACAACCCCAAATACACTCAAAGACCTAACAAGTCACTCAAAAGAATAGACAAACAACTGAAGGCTCAACCATCACTCTAATATCGCCTTGAACTCTCTGTACTAACTAATTTACGCAATATCATACTTAGAAGCGCACTAATTAATTAAATTTCTATTAACTAATGTACTATTAACATTAATTGTTAATTAATCACAAATTAATTAATTTTCTATTAACTAATTAAGTAATTTTTTATTGACTAATTAATTAACATATTAAATTAAATTAAATATAAAAACTGGCCGGGCCGAAAAAATTTGCGGCCGGTGCGTCGCCGGGCCGAAAACATTTTGCGGCCGGTGAGCCACCGGGGCGAAAAATTTTTGCGGCCGGTGCGCCGCCGGACCGAAAAAATTTTGTGGCCGGTGCGCCGCCGGGCCGAAATTTTTTTGCGGCCGATGCGACCTCCGGCCGAAAATCTTTTTCGTCCCGTCGTCGCCCCTGACGCAAATTTTTTTCGGCCGGTCGCCGAACACGCCGGCCAAAATTTTTCCGGAGGCGTGTTCGGCGACCGGCCGAAAAAAATTGGCGGCCGCGACGCCCCAGGCCGAAAGAAATTTTCGGCTCGGCGGCGTTCCGACCACAATTTTTTTTCGGGCCACCGTGTTTTTCGTCGGAAAACTGGAAAACTTGCCGGAAAATTGAAAAACTTGCCGGAAAAAGTAAACTTATTTGTTTTCCGACGATTGAGGACGACGGGAGGTTGGCCGGCGACGGAGGCACTGGGCTCGTCGACAAAAGTGTTTTTGTTGGAATGAGTCAAATGTTAATGATATTCGAATTTATAGAATGAAAGGAAGGGAGAATTCAAAATTTGAATTCAACTTTTTTTTTTAGTTGGCGGCAAATAGAAATTTGGTTGGCGGCAAATAGTCGTTCACAATTAAAGGAATTAAATAGTACTAGAAAAAATAAATATAAAATTTGGTCACTCGAATTACTAAAACAGGTCATATTTAGTCACTCTCTCGTTAGCCTCCGTCCAACTCCGGTCACTCGAATTACTTTCTTTTTATGAATGTCAACGGAGTTGGACGGAGGCTAACGGAGAGTGACTAAATGTGACATGTTTCAGTAATTCAAGTGTCCAAAATTGATATTAATTTTTTCTAGTGACTAAACATGACATGATTTAGTAATATCGTTGACCAAATGTGACAAAACTTTTTTTTGAAAGTTTTGCTCAGTCGACACAAAATTCGTTAGCACTGGGTTCAACTCACTTTAATGGGGTCGAATATCCATCGATTTGAACTCACTCAAATGGGGCCGAATACCCATTGATTTGAGTTGATATTGGGTTCAATTGTTATAAGAAAATTAATTAGAAGTTTAATGGCACAAAAACACCTTCAAGCTTTGGTTAATTACAAAAAAGCACACATTGAACGTGCGAAACTCGTTATCGATACAAAATTCGTCAACAAGAGGTTCAGCTCGCTTTAACCAGGTCGAATTAGATCAAATATCCATTGATTTGGGTTGAAATTATATTCAATTGTCATAAGAAAATTAATTAGAATCTTAATGACACAAAAGCACCTCCAAACTTTGATTAATTACAAAAAAAACACCACTTCTAATGTGACTATATGAATAGTGATTTTGTCACTGGTTCATTTAAAGAGTTAATATCAAAGATATGCTATCCGGAGCTGGTGATCTTTTTCTCCTGTATTTTCCTGTTTCTTGTTCCTTTACTTTTTTGGAACTTTCTGATTCCTCCTGTTTTTTCCTTCTAATTAATGAATTTCACTCTGATCTTCTTCATCTCCCCATTCTGATCTTCTTGATCTCCATTATGATCTTCTTGATCTCTAACACCCTCAGTCATCTATACCAGTTTTCTCTTTTTTGATATCTCTGTCTGTCGTTTTCTGTTTTTCAGGGCGATCCTGTGTTTTGTAGTTAACAATCGCCTTTATTTTTGTGAGATATATAGTTTGAATACTATGTTAATGCGATCCTGTCTCTGTTTTTTTTTTAATGGGTTCAGAAGCAACCAATAAACTTTGATTTGAGACATCAAGGATAATCACTGCTGCACCATGAAACTGAAACTATATGACAAAACGAATAACCAATAATATGGATTCAGAAGAAGAAGACAATAATATGAGTTTCCCTACAGTGGGAACAACTTGCCCAAGCATCTTTTCCTGTGGTTGTTAGACTCTGGCGGTCCAACTTTGTTAACCGAAACTCCATTGATGTGATCCAACAACGGTACATTGCTGCTGTTGGTAAAATAAACAGTCCTTAAATAGCCTGTCCTAATCATCTCATGGAGTGAGATAATCTATTCACTCTACCCGCTTAGTAAAGTCATTTGCAATCAAACCGAATGTTGAACTAAAAAAGTAACAGGCAAGCTCTATTTGTCAACCTGGGGTCTAGATCTACTGCCTACTCCGTGAATATCTATTATCTAGCAAACTAAGTCGAGTGATTGTGATTTTAACTAAAAGAAGTAAGAAAGCAGGAAATGGTTCAAAGTTCTTTAGCAAGGGAAGAGTCACTCGGGAATGAGTCCCCCTAGCTCCTTAGTTAGGTCACAGTTGTAATTACCCTGGGTTGATTAACTGTTGATTAGACTGCGGAAGATCCGACAGTAGCTTGGAATCTCTTAAGCTGAGGTTCATATTTTATTCATATTTGAATAAAATATGAATTAGGAAAACGGACGGTGACAAGCGCCCGAGTGAGCAGTTGCACGTCCTTAGAATCCCTTCAAGTATCGAGTCCAGCGGGAACCTTAACCCAAACCGGAAATATTCTTGATAAATCCCAAGCCATCGAGGACCCACCACGCCTACTCGAGTAATGTGAGAAGCAAGCGCATAGGTCGACGTTCGGGGTAGACCATAAGAATTTATTAGCCGTTCCATCTGCCCCAATATCACCGATGACACGTGTTGTGCTCCAGCTTCTGGCACATCCAATTGACTAGTTTGTAAGGGCGCATGACCAGGGGGCCAAGTATTAGTCTATTCTCTAATCTTGTACGATCCATCATCTGAGGCGCCTGAATCAGAGGTCGGAGAAGTCACCATCTCAAACGACCGCGAACATCCAGGCGCATGGCCTAAAACGAGCGATTCAAGCATGATACTATCAATTCTCAAACCCTAGGACGAGATGCTAATCGGACCCCCTACCAAGGCGAATCATTCACTAGAAGATTCGA